GAGGGACGGGGACCCCAAGGCCAGGCGGCAGCGCGGGAGGGACGGGGACCCCAAGGCCAGGCGGCAGCGCGGGAGGGACGGGGACCCCAAGGCCAGGCGGCAGCGCGGGAGGGACGGGGACCCCAAGGCCAGGCGGCAGCGCGGGAGGGACGGGGACCCCAAGGCCAGGCGGCAGCGCGGGAGGGACGGGGACCCCAAGGCCAGGCGGCAGCGCGGGAGGGACGGGGACCCCAAGGCCAGGCGGCAGCGCGGGAGGGACGGGGACCCCAAGGCCAGGCGGCAGCGCGGGAGGGACGGGGACCCCAAGGCCAGGCGGCAGCGCGGGAGGGACGGGGACCCCAAGGCCAGGCGGCAGCGCGGGAGGGACGGGGACCCCAAGGCCAGGCGGCAGCGCGGGAGGGACGGGGACCCCAAGGCCAGGCGGCAGCGCGGGAGGGACGGGGACCCCAAGGCCAGGCGGCAGCGCGGGAGGGACGGGGACCCCAAGGCCAGGCGGCAGCGCGGGAGGGACGGGGACCCCAAGGCCAGGCGGCAGCGCGGGAGGGACGGGGACCCCAAGGCCAGGCGGCAGCGCGGGAGGGACGGGGACCCCAAGGCCAGGCGGCAGCGCGGGAGGGACGGGGACCCCAAGGCCAGGCGGCAGCGCGGGAGGGACGGGGACCCCAAGGCCAGGCGGCAGCGCGGGAGGGACGGGGACCCCAAGGCCAGGCGGCAGCGCGGGAGGGACGGGGACCCCAAGGCCAGGCGGCAGCGCGGGAGGGACGGGGACCCCAAGGCCAGGCGGCAGCGCGGGAGGGACGGGGACCCCAAGGCCAGGCGGCAGTGCGGGAGGGACGGGGACCCCAAGGCCAGGCGGCAGCGCGGGAGGGACGGGGACCCCGCCACGCTCAGCGCTGCCAGCCCAGGCTGCAGCCCTGCCTGTCCCCGAGGAGGGAGTTGAGGGCTGGGGAGAGTGCTCTCTCACCGGCACGGGGCTGATACGTTCAGGGTCCTGCCTGGACTCCCGTGACGACCATCTGCAGCTGCTCTTCATGATTACTTCTTAGCAGGGAACCACTGTGAACACACTCCCCAGGGCAGAAAGTCACATAGATGGAGTGAGATGGGGTTGCAGCAAAGTGTTTCCAATTTTCATGAAGCAGGAAAGCCCCAAAGATGTTAAGATCCGGCTTTGCCCTTGACCTGACCAGACTTTGGGTCCAGTCACATAGTAGTGGTATGATCTTGGCGGACACACCTCTTAGCTCTTTCTCTGTGAAACGGGGTGACAGTAAGATCTACCTCACCAGTTCCAGCAAGAATGAAATAACATGATGTACATAACATAGCACTTGCTAAAATTCAACCTTACTGTTCATTTTTATGAATATAAAAAATTCATTACCATGAATGAAATCTATTATGATGCATTAGAACTTTCTAAAAGGTTATGTTTTTATAATGATTTTGTGATTAATTTCTGTCTTTTCAACCAGCCTCATGAGGGTTCAAAGAGAACAATCACTTTATGATGTTGTGTTGTTGTTCCGTCGCTAAGTTAAGTCTGATTTTTTGTCACTCCATGGCTGTAGCCCGCCAGGCTCCTCTGTCCATGGGATTCTCCAGGCAAGAATACTGGAGTGGGTTGCCGTTTCCAGCTCCCATGGATCTTCCCGACCCAGATATTGAACCTATGTCTCCTGCATTGGCAGGCAGATTCTTTACCACTGAGCCCCCAGGGAAGCCCTTATTATGGCACAGGGAAGCCTTGACTGACATATTGCTAGAGATACTACACATACTATTAAAGGTACGTAGACCAAATTTCATGAATAAATCATATTTTAATTATTCTAAAAGAGTGACATTACTCAAATACAGGGCACGTGTGTAATGATTAAGAGCAATGGCTTTGGAGTCAGACAGAAGGGAGATCAAATTCAAGCATTTACATTCCCTAGCCTCAGCTTCTTTTTGCTTTAACACTTTCTAAATATTTAATGTCTTTTTTTTAGTAGTACATTTTTCATAACCAAAGTATAGTTGATGTACAATATTGTATAAGCTACTGGTGTACAATGTAGAGATCTGCAATTTTTAAAAGTTACACTCATTTATAGTTATTATCATTCCCCATGTTGGCCAATATATCCTGTAGCTTATTTTATGCCTGATTGTTTGTACCTCTTAATGCCCTCCCCACTCAACTTCTCCATCTGTGTATATGTCCATCCACTCAGTGACTCTTTCCTGGGGGCAACTGTACGCCAGGCATTGTTCAAGGGAAGGAGTCCCTCCTTGTAGGATTGGAAGGAAAGGTGGAGCACAGCTGGCCCAGCACCTGGAGCACGGGTGGGACCCCCTACAGGAAACCTGCCCATTTGTCGAACACTCCCCGTGGTAGAACCGGAACGGAGACGAGGGACAGAGATGGGGGACGTGGTCTCTACCCTTGTGGGTGTGTATAGTCGCAAAGAGAAGACAGACGGATGATAGAGCACAGCTCAAGGTGCCGGGCGCTCCGCACAGCGGGAGAGTCAGGGGGTCTGGGCGCGAGCAGGCGGCAGCTGTCACCCAGGCCAAGCACGCGGGCTCACCTGCTCCTTCCCTCAGCAGCCTGCGCTGCTGACAAGAGTTGTGTGAAATCCCTGGGCTGGCGCTGAGGCTGATGGAAGTACTGCCACTCAGCTGGGACCGCCTTCACAAATGATCGGATTCAGGGAGTTTAAACTGTCTCAGATCTCTTCGATTCACAGAATGTGGGAGTATGATTAGCCTCCCGATCCACGAAAAATTAGGGGTTCGAGGGCTGGAAGCAGCAATCGTTTCGGGGATCTGAGGCTCTCAGAACCTGAGAGTTTGGGGCTAAAGGAAAAGGGCCTGTGGAACAACTATCGGTAGGGTTTGTAAGGGGGCAAGGGCTGCTGGAGTGAGGCTGAGAGGGTCTCTCCACGCGAACGCAGTCAGGTTCCTGGCCTCCTTCTGCGTGTCTCCCCCATCCCACCACCAGCGGGTTCTGCCACCCACCACTGACAAACTCCGCAGAGGCAGGGACACAGGACCGACAGCTAACTTCGTTTTAGGGTCGTTTCTCTACAAAAATGTGACTGGAATATATTGCCTTTTATTACCTCTTATAATCATCGAGTTGAAAAATGGTAAAGATAAGAGAGACTGCATGGAGAAAAAAAGCAGGAAAGAAAAATGGGTGTTTTAAAAATAACATTCTGAAGTCTTACATAGCAATACATAAGGTATATGACTGAATTTTCAGAGCTGTGCAGTTGTTCTCAGCCCATTTTATAGATGAGGAAACTAATGGTAAGGGCAGGGGTCAGGGGGTGTTAGGTGACTTGTGTGAGGAATACACAGCCAGTAAGAGGAATACTTGAATTCAAACCCAGGTCCGTCTGAATTCAAAATACCAGTCTTTTTCCTTTAGGCCACACTATTCAGCTTAAGCAAAGTAATAACAATATTAGGGTTTATTGAGCACTTATTATCTACTAGGCACGGTTGTAAGCACTTTACTAATGGCAACGCATTTAATCCTCACTTTAATCCTTATTTAACCTGTGATTTGATAGATATTGTTATTCCCACTTTACAGAGAGGTACTGCTTCCCTGGTGGCTGAGAGGTTAAAGTGTCTGCCTGCAATGCAGGAGACCTGGGTTCGAACTCTGGGTCGGGAAGATCCCCTGGAGAAGGAAATGGCAACCCATTCCAGTATTCTTGCCTGGAGAATCCCATGGATGGAGGAGCCTGGTGGGCTACAGGCCACAGGTCAAAAAGAGTCAGACACGACTGAGCAACTTAACTAGAGCCAGTGAGCAGCCAGGACTGTATTCTTGTGGGAAGGTGAATCAGTGCAATATGCAATGCTTTATTTTTAAATCAAGAATCGCTCATTCTTTCCTTTATCCCTTCTGGATAAAGGAAACGTCTTCCATCATTTCAAAGATTTTTCAAAATGTTAACACAAAATATATCTCAAATTAGTGTGTACTGATGCGCTGGAGAAACCGTCAGAGACAGATGGTCAAAAAGACCTAAAAACAATGAGATGGGTGTTCCTTTAGTAGCCAGATAGAGAGTTTTCTACAGAGACCCTGCAAAGAGAGTGGATTCCTAAAGCAAAAGGGAAAAGCCAGTTCGGGGCTCTAAGAATGCGAGCAGGAATTCCAGTACTGCAGAAATACTATCGCTTTGCCCTCATTTTTGTCTCTTAAGCATACTTCACATTTCTCCTTCAAGGCACACTGCCCTTGGTATCGCAGTGGACTCTTAATATATGTATTTTATAGACATCCTGTAATTTCTCCTATTTCAAAAAGTTTTTATAAAATATGTAATAAGGCAGCAGATTATTTCTTTATTCTAGCTAATTAAACCTTTTTGTAGGTGGAATCCATACACTGTCACAAAAATACAGTTAAGTCAGTTCACAGTTTGACCAGAAGTAGCCCTCAAAAGAATCAAGCCCTTCCCTTTAACTATATGACTCGATTGTACTTTCCATGACTTCAGAGGGCCACTGGAGGTGACAGGCCATTTGTCAGAAGTTCAGAGGGTCCCTGCGAACAGTCGTAGGATAAAGGCCATGGACATTTGTAAGACTGTCCTCCTGCCGTGTCTACAGTTCCATGGCCCCTTAATACGTATTTGATTTGTTCATCTGCCTCGTCAGCCCACAAAAATCACTCTCACTCAATAATGATGTGAGCTGTGTAGGTCACTTAACCTCTCTGTGCAGGAAAAAAGGACCATGAAGTTTCCATGAGAAATAAATGAGTGTATATGTGTGAAACACTCAGAAGAGGGTCTAGCACATAGTAGATACTCAATAAAACTGTTAGGTATTGCATTTAAATGTGTTGTTATTGTGGGATTCTTTTTCTTAGGAATCTTAGGTCTTGGATAGATAGTACTGCAAAAGAAAAATCACTGTGGTGACTTTCTAGCCTAGGGGATTGCCTACTTCTTAACCGGTGTCTCTTTTCTCTCCCGTGTCCCCGACAGAGATTACCTCGGGAACTCTGACTTATGGAGCAGGTGCCAAAAGCCCAGCGACGTGGTTCCCTGGAATCTGACCCTCTTCTCCATCCTGCTGATCGTAGGGGCAGTTCAGATAATTATCTGTGCCATCCAGGTGATCAACGGCCTCCTGGGGACCCTGTGTGGAGACTGCCAGTGTTGTGGCTGCTGCGGGGTAAGCTGAGGTCTTTGGTCAAGTCAGGCCACCAGCGCACATGGGACGAGGGGGTGGAAAGAGCGGCAGCTGCAGGATCTCCAACCGGGCTGCAAGGCCCAGGCAGCTCCTCTCTCAGCCAAGGGAAGCTGCTCGCTATGATGCTGTTAGCAGCATACCTAGGCTGAGGCTGAGCACTTTCAGTCTTGCCCCCACCTGACCAGAGTTCTGAAAGCAAAGGACTCCATACACGCATAGAAGTTTATGATAAAGTCTACATGAAGAGTCTCAGGAAGTGGACATCTGTTATAGGAAGACACATCACAGTCTGTTCCCAAATGTTCTCTTTCCTAGCTCGATCTACACGGTGGGTTAAAGTTGTCACGTAATGCATGAAGGGTACTTTCTTCCCCTTGGAAAATATATGGAAGAGAGAAATTGTTCTTAAGTACAAGAAATAGTGGAAATCATTAGGGATTTCCTCTCCAAATATGACTGTAAATTATCAACACTATGAAAAATAAACCTATGGACAGTAAACCAAGGTGATTATTTCAAATACTGAATGAGCCAGATGAGGAAATTATTTAATACACATGAAGTTATTTTTTTTTTTTACTGAAAAAAAATTTTTTTTCTATGTCTAAATCCCATAAAGTCAGTTACACATTGCTATAATTAACATTCTCTTGCAGAAGTGCTGGTGGATTTTTTTTTTTTAATTTTTTTTTTTTCATTTATTTTTATTAGTTGGAGGCTAATTACTTTACATCATTGTAGTGGTTTTTGTCATACATTGACATGAATCAGCCATGGATTTACATGTATTCCCCATCCCGATCCCCCCTCCCACCTTCCTCTCCACCCGATCCCTCTGGGTCTTCCCAGTGCACCAGGCCCGAGCACTTGTCTCATGCATCCAACCTGGGCTGGTGATCTGTTTCACCCTAGATAATATACGTGTTTCGATGCTGTTCTCTTGAAACATCCCACCCTCACCTTCTCCCAGAGTCCACACACATGAAGTTATTTTTAAACACAGATTAAAGTATGAGGAAAAAATTAAATAGGATTCAAGTGTTGGGGACTTCCCTGGCAGTCTAATGGTTAAGACTCTGCGATTCCACCTCAGGAAGCACAAGTCTGATTCCCAGTCAGGGAAGTATCATAAGATCCTGCATGTGATGTGTTGTGGCCAAAAAAAAAGTTTGGCTAGAACTTCAGAGTTCCCTTATTGGGGAATTATGTAAACAAGTATAAATAAAGGTCTATCTACTTAATATAATATCATACCCAAATTAGAAATGATCCAAATATTTTTTTCAAATAGTTCTTATAAGCAATATATGTATATAAGTCAACAATTGTATGTGTGTGTGTGTGTGTGCACAGAAATCTAGGGAGGTGTTCAGTTAGAAAATCTGTGCCCTGACCTTGTCTTTCACCCATCAATTTCTTCAGTTATGTGATTCTTATATATCCTCCCAGAGTTTCGTTGTTATTGCTTCCATTTCCTCTACCTTAAAAGGATTTTTTTTCAATACTGTAATAATACTGAAAATGCTTATAAGATGCTGTTATTTAAAAAGAGCAATATACAAAAAGTATATACAAAACACACAATTATATAAATTTTAGAAATCAATATTCTAAATGGGAAAAGAATCTAAAAAAGAATAGTAAATGTATATGTATAACTGAATCAGCTTGCTATACACCTAAAAGTAAGACCACATTGTAAATCAACTATCTGTGTGTGTACTTAGTCGCTCAGTCGTGTCTGACTCTGTGTGACTCCATGGACTGCAGCCCACCGGGCTTCCCTGTCCATGGGGATTCTCCAGGCAAGAATACAGGAGTGGGTTGCCATGCCTTCCTCCAGGGGATCTTCCCAACCTAGGGATCAAACCCAGGTCTTTCGCGTTGCAGGCAGATTCCTTACCAACTGAGCTACCAGGGAAGCCCGACTAGACTATAGTCCAGTATAAAATAAAATTTTAAAAATAAATAAAATAAAATAAATAAAAACTCAAACACAATGAGTAGAAAAAAGACCTAAAGGAAATCCAACCAAAATGCTTAATGGTAATTATTTGTAGGTAAGAAGACTGACTTTTTCCCTTCCTTCGAGCTTATATTATTCAAAAATGTTTAACAATCATATATTTTGAAATATAAAAAATATAAATGAAAATGTCTTCCCAAAGCCAAGAGTAAAATGCATATATTAAAAATAAATTTCCCTGACTATTGGATTTTTGTTCTATAAACTTTCAATTCTATGATGTTGTATTTAAATTTTTTGGTCTTAAAACACAATTGGGGAGAAAAGAAAACTACCAGTTAGAAATCCATCAAAATTATTTTTATGGTAGTGGTTAAGAGTACTGAGCGTTTGAATTTTGTAATTCGTCCAACAAGAATGCAAGCTTGCTAAATCAGCTCATTCATTTCAAACACTGACATTATTTCTTTTCCTGCTTTCATGAAATAAGTTACATTTTTTTAGTTAGGTAGCAAATTTTCATTGCAAGTATAATTGGAAATACAACTATTCTTCTAACAGAAGATAGCAGTTACTAAATCTGAGGATTATCTATAAATTAAAAACATACCCACAGGTCATCAAGCTAAGTGAAGTAAATCACACAAAGAAAGACAAATACTGTATGATATCACTTACATGTGGAATCTAAAAACCACAACTATTGAATATAACAAAAAAGAAGCAGACTCACAAATAGAACAAACTAGTGGTTGGCAGCGGGCAATACAGGGTGGGGAGTGGGAGGCACCAACTGTTCCCTGTAAGATAGGCTGCAACACAGGGAACATAGCCAATGTTTTGCAATAATTGTAAATGGAAGGTAACCTTTAAAATTTTATTAAAAATGTTTAAAATTAAAAATTACAAAACAGAAAAACACACCCATAGTTGTAGTCTGTTGTGTCTTCAGTGAGCGTCATCTATTCAGACTCCATATTTCAGCAGTTTTAATGAATAAATCACCTGATAGTGAAAAGAAAGTTGCTGAACACTCTAGCTGGCACTAGAGAATCACAGAGAATGAATATACATCACCAGAATTCCCTTCCCTCCTTCCTTCTCCATCTTTTTATTTGGATAAATTCAAATCCATGTAAAATTTTAAAAAACAATACAGTGAACACCCATGCCTTTTCACCTAGATCCACAGACTGTTAACATCAGCTTGCTCTCTGTCTGCACCTTTGGAAAGTAATTCACAGACGTCATGAAACCTTACTACTAAATATTTCAGTGCACACAAGAGCTACATTGGAGGGGGAAAAAAACAACAGTGGTCTGCTGATGATCCCGGTCTTGTGGGCAGCCCCCCTTTTGCACAGCTGGTCGGGGTCTCTGCCACAGGAGGACTCGGGGGAGTGCTGGGCTCCCAGTTAATCACTCACTTGCTGAGTGAGCTGAGCAAGCTCCTAGCTTCCAGAAGCTTCGTTCTCCCAGCCACCTCCTGCCGAACTTTCATAGAGAAGATGCACATAGACATGCATCCATTCAGACAGGAAGTATGTATTGAGAGGTCCCTGGCCTGGCACAGTCCTCACATGAGGTAATAGGTGGAAACGTGCCTCAGAATACCAGCTGTTGAATGCCAGCGGTGCGGTCTTAGCCAAGCTGGTTGCCCTCAACTGTGTCTTTGCCTGTAAAACGTGATTGTTAAACCTTCTTCCGAAGGTGCTGAGTGAGCGTCTAACCTGGGGTCATCAATGTGCATCCAAGTCGGGACTTCTCTGCTGGTCGAGTGGTTAAGACTCTGTGCCACGACAGGGATCCAGGGTTTAATTCCTGGCTGGTGAACTAAGATCTCACATGCCACACGGCACAGCAGGGGGAAGAATGCATCCATGTCAGTAACTAGAAGGCTCAGGACACTGTACTGTTATTTCCTTAAGAGGATGGAAATCTGTATAGCAGCCTCAGTTCAAGAAAAGAAACGCAGCTCCTGGGTTCCCCCTCCCAGGGTTCTCTACTTATTAATTCCTGGCTTCTCTATCTATTAACAATGGCTTCAGACACATCACTTGAGCCCTCTGTTCCGCTTATTAAAAATTAATTTTAATAATAAAGTGAAGCTTCCACACTTCTAGCCTAAACATCGGTAAGTGACAAAGCTCTGAACCAAAGTCAGGGAAGTATAGCAAATATTCAATAAGTGACCAATAAGGGCAAGAGTCATAAGACAAAGGGGGCTTCCCCTTAGTAAAGAATCCCCCAGGCAATGCAGGACGTACAGAAGTGGGGTTTGACCCCTGAGTCGGGAAGATCCCCGGAGAAGGAAATGGTATCACACTCCAGTATTCTCGCCTGGGAAATTCCAAGGAGAGAGGAGCCTAGTGGGCTACAGTCCATGGAGTCACAAAGAGTCGGACACAGCTGAGCTCACAAACAAATTAAGACTAAGAAGGGTGACGGGGAGGGGAAAGTACACACACACAGAAATGATATTGCATTAATTAATTTTCTCTATCTTCTAGGGAGATGGACCAGTCTAAACCCCCATGATGAGCTGTTGTAACCTGATGGCGTGTGAGAAAATATATTAAACTTGATTCTCTTCTTGGAGTTGCCAGTTCCTACCTGCTTCCTAACTGACAAAGCTTAGGGAGGCCAGAGTTATTTCTTCTCCTTTCTAACCAGCTCAGTTCAACTTAGAATTTTGTTAGTTTCAAATAAAAAATAGTTTGGCCACTTAAGGAATATTTATGAATCTTTCCAATTAGCTTCCTTTTATCATCGAAGAGCAGGTTCAAAGCAAACGTTTCATAATTTTTTCTCTAAGAATGAAAAATGTATAAGAACATGTGTGCTCTGTTCTGCTTCTGTGTACATAGAGATGTTAATATCCTTGGAAGTTTTACAGAAGTCAAAAGAGTAAATCACATTAAAAACGAGATGCTAAGACCAATTTTTATTTTAAAGATTTATGGGGAAAACAGAATGACTGATGTATCATAATTTTTATTTATTGCCTTTTGTGCTAACATGTTTGAATTACTTGTGACTAATCTTTTGAGCCTGACATCATTTACTAGGGTTTCCTTATGTATATTAAATTAAAATCAGAATTCAAAGGTAATATCATAAAGATTGTGTGTTTGCGAGGAAGGAGGGGCAAAAGATTAAATGAAAATTCATGTTTTCTACAAATGCTTCCTTTGAGCAAACAAAAACAATGTTTTTAAAAAATTGATTTGGGTAAAATCATTCTGTCAGCCTACGGCCCAGGAGTTAAGTAATAGGTATTATCAGTTCTACATGTTGTATTAGGCCATTAGCTTTGGTCTTATGAATCAGGCACTAGTATAGAATCAAATTCATTCCACTGATTTGAGTTCAAACTCCATCTATCCACATGTCAGCTTGGGGATCCTGGGAAAGTTACTTTCTAAACCTCCGTTCCTCCATCTGTATAAAGAACTACTGAAAAGCAGTCAACCACCCAAAAAGGGTTGCAGTCCCTCAAGGGGAAGCAAAGAGATCTGTGGGGTTGTCCACATTGCTGATGTATATAACAAGGAGGGTTCTCGGAGGTTGATACAAGCTAGTATCTCACTTCTGCACCTGCCAAGCCGATGGGCGGCACTATATAAGTCAGGCACACCAAGAACTGGGTTTCTCAGAGTCACCAGAAAGATGGTTCCTAATCACAGTGCTGGCCTCTGAAGACTGGGCCCTGAAGACCCAGCATGCTGTGATTTCGCCCTCACTGTATGAGAACTCTGAGGTCAGAGAACGCACCTGTCACTAGCTAAGCGGAAGGAAGAAGGCAGGCAGATAGGCAATTAAGATCTCATTTGATGGGGGCTGGGGAGTGGCGGTACTTCCCTGGTGGACAGTAGTTAAGACTTTCCTTCCAATGCAGAGAATGCAGGTTCAACCCTGGGCTGGGGAGCTAGCATCCCACACATCTTACTCCCCAAAAATCAGAACATAAAAAACAACGGAAGCAGTATTGTAACAAATTCAATAAAGACTTTAAAAATGGTCCATATAAAAAAAAATCTTTGAAAAAAGCTCTCATTGGGGGAACTATGAACGCAAACAGTCACACACGTACACACAATGTGTTTCATATCAGTTTAGACCATTGGTTTTCCAACATGGCTGATCACTAGAGTAGCCTAGGAATTGTTCTAAAATTATAATTCCTGAATCCCAGCTTAGACCTACTACACCTGAAAATCTAGGCATGAGGCATGAAAGTTTGTCTTTTTTTCCATTCTGTAGTGTTTCAAGCTCCCCAGGTGACGCTAAAACCCAGCCTCTTTGAGCAACCATTGATTAAAATCATAGGCTGGTGGGCATCAAGGATGACAATGGGTTGGACCCCGTGATAGCTTGTCGGGAGCTCACACTTTACTGATGAATATTAATTAACGGAATACATACTTAAGATGAGGAGGAGGATGAGCAAAACAGAAAGAATAGGCCCAAGGTTTAGAAAAATTCATGGGAGAGAACCATTGAGATTGGCCCCAGGAAAGAAACAATCTGCCTTTCTACAAAATTACTTTGTCCTGTGTTAAAAATACTGATTGGGCGATGTCCACCTTAACCCATGTCAGTCATGGTTCAATCAGAGATTAAAGATCTCTGAGTGTATAAATTGCAAGGATTTTCCTTTACTAACGTGGGAGCTAGGTAAGCATTCTCTGATCAACCAGGGGTCCCCAACCTCCAGGATCTAATGCCTGTTGATCTGAGATAGACCTGATGTAAAAGTAAGAGAAATAAACCACACAATAAATGTAATGCTCTTGAATCATCCTGAAGCTACCCCACCTATCTTGGCCCGGGGAAAAATTGTCTTCTGCAAAGCGAGCCCCTGATGTGAAAATGGTTGGGGGCCACTGTTTCCAGCTGTTGTCTCAGCATCTAATGCCGGGGCTTGAAGTCCACAGGGCAGAATCTGCAAGGGAAGATGGATGTGAGGGCTGAGAGAGCGTGAAGGAGCTGGAACCCACAGCATGAGCCGAAGCCCGTGAGGAGGCACTGGAACCCGTGGCGGTTCTCATCGCCTCTGGCTTCAGTGGAATGTCCCGCGGAAGCCGGAACCAGGGGAGGTAAACACCGTGGGTATGGTGGGCCCAGGGGTCAGAGAAGCCGCTGATCCCAGGAGGGGTGAGCAGATGCCCACCCAGTTGCTGCCTGGTGTCAACGGCAGCGTACAGAAACCCCAAGGCGCCTCTGCTTCTTGATGCCCTCCAGGGCCGGCAGCAGTCGTCCTTGTGGTCCTCCCGACTGGGAGACATGACTTTGGGGCACGCAGTTTGCCCTAGGCGTGCTGACACATTACACAGCCACCACACTCAGATGGGAGAAGGGGATTTTTTTTTCAACTTCCTTGACTGTGTATATCAGGCATCCCCAGTCTCCAGGCTTCAGACCAATACCTCCTATCAGATCGGCGGTGGCATTAGATTAGAAATAAAGTGCTCAGTAAGTGTAATGAGCTTGAATCATCCTGAAACCATCCCTTGCGCCCTGGTTTGTAAAACTGTCTTCCACGAAAGGTCCCTGGTGCCAAAAGAGGCTGAGGCCCGCCAGTGTACGTGTCTTATTTCTTAGTGTAGACCAGGGCGTCTCGGCCCCCACGCGGGAGCCGCGTGGGCGAGATGATGCTTTGCCGGCGTGAGCAGAGCTGTCAGCGCACCATAGGATGTCTGGCGGCATCCTTGGCTTCTCCCGACCAGATGCTAGTAACAACCTCTCCTTCTCAGCCGTAACGACCAGAAGTGTCCCCAGAGCTGGTAAGTGTGCCTGCGGAGACGGGGCAGACTCACCCACGCTGAGAAGCACTCATCTGTTGCTTAAGGAGAGCCATAGTTCTTTGTCCTGGAAACCGACACACACGATGGGCTCGGGGACTGCTGAATCCTCTCCGAAGTCCATAAACAAGTGTGGGCCCATCCTCAAGCGACATGCAAGCATTGAAGAGGAGAGACACCGCTCTTCAAACACTTTGACTTCCGAGCACTGCCTTTTGTATTGTTGTTATTCACACCCACTCCTGGTCTGAGCTTTCCTGGCCTTCCTTGGCCAGGGATCAAACCCTCGTCTCCTGCGGCGGCAGGCGGATTCTTGACCACTGAGCCCCCGGGAAAGCCGCTGAGCGCTGCTTCTCTCGGTCTAAATACGCTCCCCGGGGGGATCTTCACTGTGGTTTCATGACAGTGCTCATGACCTCCACGTCTTTTTCTCCAGTCCAGACCACCGGCCTGCCTGCTAAATGTCTGTTTTTGAATTTCTCATTGGTATCTCAACGCAACATTTCTAAGCTGAACTCTCCCAGTCCTTCCATACAGGCTTGTTCTGAAATCTTTGTCTTAGTTGGGAGAAGGAAATGGTTTTTTTTAATTTTTTTTTTTTTTACAGTCATCATCTATATCGGGCAGACACAGAAATGTAGGAGTGAGCCGCGACATGTCCTAAACACAAAGTTTAGCATGTCCCTGCCCTATCTATGCTTCCCAGGTGGCGCTAGTGTAAAGAACCCACCTGCCAATGCAGGAGATGTAAGCGATGTAGGTTCAATCCCTGGGTCGGGAAGATCCCCTGGAGAAAGGAATGGCAACCCACTCCAGTGTTCTTGCCTGGAGAATCCCATGGATGGAGGAGCCTGGAGGGCTGCAGTCCACAGGGTCACGAAGAGTCGGACACGACTGACTACGCTTGCATGCCCTTTCTATGGCTTCCAGCACCTGACTCCCGCTGGCTTCTGTCCTTGCTCTGCCTGAAACTCAGGGATGCGGTAACTGCCTGATGTCCGGGCACCCCACACACTCTTTGAAACCCTGGCTTTGTATGTTGTGTGCTGTCTGCCTGGGAACGCTCTCTCCCTGTTACTCATCAGCGTAACAGCCTGTCCTCAAGACTCAACTCAGTTCTCATCTTGTTCTTCCTGCATCACCGTACCTCCAGCTAAGTCACAACGCCTGCATAGTCTCCCATGACATCCCGCATATGTGACAATGATTGCCCTTTGTAGATTATATCACGTAACACTTTCTTCTTTCCCCCTGGACTGAGAACTCCTCCAACCCAGAAACTCTGTCTCAATGTTTGTACCTCTTCCCAGCTCTGGGCCTGAAACATAGTATTGGCTGGGCCAAAAAGTTTGTTTGGATTTTTCTACGGGCTGTTATGGAAAAACCCAAATGAACTTTTTGGCCAACCCAATAAATACTCACTGAATGGGCTGTTACCCTGGTTATGGTTCCATGACTAAAATTATTCTCCTCAAAGGAAAGAAAAAGCTATTCTCAAGCATTTTAGAGTCAAGTGTTTGTACCAAAAAAAAAAAAAAAAAAAAAGAACTTGGCATCCATATATACCAGAAATCTTGGCAAGTGATACACATGGAGAATTTACTTAATCTTCCAAACAACCAGCCACGTGTTCACAACCGCCCATAGCTCAGCCACTGCTTTGCCTTCACTGAGTTCTGATGAGGCTCTGCTCCTCCCCACAGGACCATGAGCTCTGCTCGCGT